GACAGAAAATTCTCTTTGCCAAAACATCCGGTCCAGATTCAACTGACCATTTCAAGGACTTACATGCAATTGAAGAAAATGATGGTTAACATTACTACGGCCGCTGGCAACCAACGCCGGGCCTTCCCAAGAACCGTGGATGGCTCGCTCTCATCGCGTCAAAATATAGCGTCCACGAGTCCCATCTCGTACTCGTAAGCAAAAAGTAAAAAAGAATAAATGCTGCTTCCTTTCGGGAAACCTTGGTCGAGTGGCCTGGCATTGTTTAGAATAAACCGTAAACAGGAACAGCCGTGTACTTGTGACCAAGCTATTTGTTCACAAGCAATTGAACAAGCAATTCTTCTGCCCTCCAAAGGAATTTATATCCACTAAACCATTCTGTTGTGCCATAAAACAGAGCGAAAGCCTTAAGTCTGGCAACCAGGAACCCTGTCTACGATGGCCACCTTTAGACATTTGAAAACTGACTTGTGTAGGTTTGTGGGGATTGCAAGTATTCAAAAAAAATAAGAGCAAAAGCGTCAAAAGCCACCCCTTGATTGTGGGGGAATGATGGTTAGTTGTGTGTGATCATCCAGAGCAGGGGTGTCAAACTGCAGTCCTGGAGGGCCGCAGTGGTAGCTGGTTTTTGGTGTGTTTTAGCACTTAATTGATTAATTAAAATCACTGGTTGGCTAAAGAGTCCACACACCTGGTTTCCAAGGCCTAAAATGGCTGCCAATCGAAAGGAAAGAACAAAAACCCACAGACACTGCGGCCCTCCGGGACTAGAGTTTGACTTCCCTGATCCAGAGCCTCTGTGGTTCACTGAGCTCCTACAGTGAGGGCAGAGGGAAAACTCAGCCGTCCCTGGGTGGGCTCGAACCACCAACCTTTCGGTTAACAGCCGAACGCGCTGACCGATTGCGCCACAGAGACCAGGGTACATGCGACGTGCCACCTGCTCCATTTTATTACTCCTCCTTTTATGACTTTTTTTATTGTTTTATTACTTCTTTCCTGCACTCAAGGTGGACTCCAAGGACATTTAAGTCTCACTGTGGAGCCATTGCTCTCAGAGCACAGGTATGTTTGCCCGGCTAGCTCAGTCGGTAGAGCATGAGACTCTTAATCTCAGGGTCGTGGGTTCGAGCCCCACGTTGGGCGACGTGCTTTCTGCAAGCGCAGCGGTCGACATGCCACAGATTAAGCCTTCAATAGCAGCCATGCGTAGAAGAGCTGTTTTGTCGCACCTCTCACTTGTCGTACTGCACTTCCATCCTCTCAATCGAGTGGGGGGAAACATCTCATTAACTTTTTTTTTTTTTGTTTGTTTTTCCATTAATTTTTTTTTTTTTTTTTTTTTTTTTTTTTTTTTCCCCCCCAAATGGCTGAGACTAAGGGGGGGGCACCATCACTTAGTTGGCTAAAGTGCCTGTCTAGCAAACAGGAGATCCTGGGCTCAAATCCCAGCAGTGCCCGTGCTCCCCATCCCCCCTCGCCCACACAGCCAGCACCCCACCTGGTCGCCACCGTCCCACAGCATGCGACCCCTGATCCCTGCAGGGGTGGGAAGGAAACACCTTGTCAGTCACCAAACAAGCTCAGCCATTCGTTCTTCCCAACAGCAATCAGGCTCCTTTCTTGTGCTCAGACCATCTGATTCCATCAGGCAAAACACCTGTGAGTGCTGTCCACCTAGGCGTATGTCCCGGGTAAGCTGGCCTTCTGGTTACAGATTCCCATTTTATTTGTAGTTTTCCTATTTTTCTTATCAAACACCATCCAAATCCTGTTAATTTGGTCTCACTGGGAATCCATACTTTGTAGTCCCATTCGTGACCAAAAAGAACTTGAAATAGGAACTCGTCCTACCGCCGCTTTCTGCCCGCTTCGGCAGCGCACACACTAAAATTTGAACGATACAGAGAAGATAAGCATGGTCCCTGCACAAGGATGACACGCATACTGGTGAAGCGTTCCATGTTGTTGTTCCTGGTTACATGGTGAGCCAAAACAATGAATTTTCAATGAATTGAAAACAGAGTATATTTACAGCAGGGGAGAGATATCTGTTCATTTTACATCAGATACATGCCACTGAAAGGAAATTTATATCCACTAAACATGACTTTTTCTCAGCTGTGTTACATCAGATAACGCAAGAAAATCAAACAGTCGCTTATGACTAGGGTTACATGTAAAATGACTCCTATGGCCTGTGGGGGTTATATCATACACAAGTCCCAAAACATGTAAATCAGCCAGGATGCTGCTCATTGAGTGCAATGGATAAGGAAGCAACACTCGAGCTGCTGCTCTTGCTACTGTCATGTGGGGGTGCACAGCAACACCGGAGTGAACTGCGGAAGAAGCCCATACAGATTTTGCCCCTGTGCTGTGTTTCGCATGACGCCGGGACCATGTGGGGTCTGGTGGGCCTCCCTGCTGGTGGAGTGTGGGAAAAGGTAGACCTTGATGGGGGTGGGGCCTTCTGGAGAATGCGGGCATCGATCCCGCTACCTCTCGCATGCTAAGCGAGCGCTCTACCATTTGAGCTAATTCCCCACTTGCTTTGTCCTCCGTCCCTTGTAGCTCTGCACGACCTTGCAAGAAGTGGCAGGATGGGAGAGCACTTTTGGGGAATTGGCGCCCCCTGGCGCCTGGCCATCAGCCTGTGGGTTCCATGGTGTAACGGTTAGCACTCTGGACTCTGAATCCAGTGATCCGAGTTCAAATCTCAGTGGGACCTTTGCTCTTCTACGGTCTGGTGTTTTGACACCATGTGGCTCCGTCTTTAGCGCTCTGCTTTTGGGCACACTTTTTTGTTGCAGCCGACAGCATACATGAAGCTCAGCTACCTCAGCTGGTCAGAGTGTGGTTCAAATAACGCCAAGGTCATGGGTTAGACCCCCGTACGGGCCAAGGCCTATTGTTTGTCATAGTTATTAGATAAGGTAACCTGGAAAAACAATATGGAACACTTCTCAAATTTTCAAGATGCTTCATTCAGATATCTCTCCTCTGTTATGAGTATACCTTGTTTTAATTGAAACTGTCCCTTTGCAATGTTTTGGATCACCATTTAACCAGGAATAACAACGCAGAACGCAGAGAAGCAACCTCATCAACTGTTGATTGCATGCTCCACAACCTGCAAGATGACAGAAAATTCACTTTGACAGAACATCCAGTCCAGACTCAACTGACCTTTTCAGGTCTTCAAAGTCATAGAAGAATTGAAAGCACTTAAGTCAGTTTTCAGATGTCTACAGGTGGCCATCATATAGGGAGTTTGTTGTTGCCAGATGTAGGACTTTCTCTCTGTTTTATGGCAGGAAAAAAAAAAGGTTGAGTGGATTTCAACTCCTTTCAGTGGCGTTTATCTGCTGTAAAATGAACAAGCGCATGCTGAGGTCCCATGTGAGTTCAGAAGAGGCATGTTCCGCCCAGTTTGAACTGGGGACCAGCGTGTGGTGGCGGGCATGATAACCACTACACTGAAACACCACATGCTGTGCTTCAGCGACACGGGATATCCATTCTAAAGCTTTGCATATTGTCACGCATTCACCCAGCTGAAGCTTAACTCCTTCTGTAGCTGCTATTCCCAGCCATCAAGTCCCCCAACATGCATTTTCTGTAGTTGTAGCGCTTATCATGTTTGGCTAACATGCAGAAGGCCCTCAGTTCAAACCCGAGCAGAAGCATGTTTGACAGGCAGGGAACAGGACAAGGACCAAACTCCAAGCTGTGCAACCGATAAAGACAGGTGGCGAACAGGAGACCCAACAATGCGCCAGCATGGTCGGAGACTCTCAGGACAACCGTGAATGCTGCCGTGAAGGTTCGGAGCCATATGATCCCGTGCCATCCCTGGTAGGTCTGAGCTCAGCCTGCTATTCAGGGAACTGCTCTTGAATCATCTCTGTGCTGTGTTTCACAGCGGTTCCATCTTGCGACAGGGACATTTTGAATAGAATAGAAGGATGCCTTTTATTTTCATTGTGTACATAGAGTATACAGCGAAGGTGGGAGAGCTACTCACTGATCAGTGCAAAAAAAAGTTTAAAAAAAACACATTCAATACGTTGTTAAATACCCATACAATACATGATAAAACCCATTGATGCATAATAAAAGAACAAAATAATGCACTTAAAACGTAATACATACTTAGTAATAGTGATACTGAGGTGGTACATTGAGTAACAGAATTTGTCATGTAAAGGGAGTTAGAGTTATGATGGCCCAGGGAAAGAAACTGTTTTGAGTCTGTTTGTCCAGGTTTTGATGCACCTGTAGCGCCTCCCAGATGGCAGGAGGTTGAACAGGTGCTGTCCAAATGGAAGGGGTCTTTAACATGTTTCTGGCTCTGCAGAGTACTGAGACCATGAGATGTCTTCCAGGGAAGGCAGAGGGCAGCCGATGATTTTCTGAGTTGTTCAGTGACCCTCTGCGGAGCTCTTTTGTCTGCTGCTGGGCAGCCGGCATGCCACCACACTGTGATGCAGTGCGCCAGTACATACCGATGGTGGAGGCGGTAGAGATTGGGTTTATTATGTATTGTATGGGTATTTAACGATGTATTGAATGTGTTTTTTTAAACTTGTTTTTGCACTGACCAGGAAAGAGAAGCCCTCCCAAATTTCATTGTATACTCTATGTTCAATGACAATACAAGGCATTCCTCTATTCAAAGTGTCCCCTGTTGCAAGACAAGTACCCACTGCGACACACAGCACAGAAAAACTTCAAGGCGGTTCCTGAACAACGGAGGCTGAGCTCAGGTCGGTCAGGGATTACCACATCCTGCACCCCTCCCAGAGGCCTGAGGGCTCCCAAGATTGCAGATGGCACAGCATCACGCAGTTCGAACTTTCATGACAGCATTGGCAGCGGCTGCGGCCGTCCGACATGATGCTAGCAGCGTTGTTGGACCTCGCTGTTCACCACCTGTCTCTGTCAGCTGCTCAGCAGGGGCTTAGTCCTGTCCCATTCCCCCGCCCGTCAAAACATGTTTCTGCCGGTTTGAACCGAGGACCACAGGTGTTAGGCAAGCGTGATAACATTACACTACAGAAACCGCATGCTGAAAAACAGATGGCTGGGAATGGCAGTTACAAGAAAGCGTTGCTTCCTCGCCGGAGTGAGAATGTGACGATATGCAAAGCCTAGCATGGATTAAAGGAAACACGTCCCCCACAACAAGTCACAGAGAACTGACAGTACAAAAGTCAGTTTTCAGATGTCTAAAGGTGGCCATCATATACAGGAGTTTTTTCCTCACAGATTAGGACTTTCTCTCTGTTTTATGGCAGGAAAAGAAGGGTTTAGTGGATATGAATTCCTCTCTGTGGTATTTATCTAATATAAGATGAACAAACGATGCCGAGGGTCCCGTGAGTTCAGAAGAGGTATGTCTCCCGCCTCAGTTTCAACTGGGGACCTTCGTGTGAGGCGAACGTGATAACCACTACACTACGGAAACACCACATGCTGTGCTTCAGCGACACGGGATATCCATTCTAAGCTTTGCATATTGTCACATTCTCACCCAGCTGAGGAAGCAACTCCTTCTGTAGCTGCTATTCCCAGCCATCCGTCCCCAACATGCATTTTCTGTAGTTGTAGCGCTTATCATGTTTGGCTAACATGCAAGAGGCCCTCAGTTCAAAACCGAGCAGAAGCATGTTTTGACAGGCAGGAACGGGACAAGGACCAAACTCCAAGCTGTGCAACCGATAAAGACAGGTGGTGAACAGGGAGACCCAACAATGCGCCAGCATGGAGTCGGGCTCTCAGGACAACCGTGAATGCTGCCGTGAAAGTTCGAGCCATATGATCCCGTGCCATCCTCAATCTTGGATATCCCCCTGGTAGGTCTGAGCTCAGCCTGCTATTCAGGAACTGCTCTTGAATCATCTCTGTGCTGTGTTTCACAGCGGTTCCATCTTGCGACAGGGACATTTTGAATAGAATAGAAGGATGCCTTTTATTTTCACTGTACATAGAGTATACAACGAAATTAGGAGAGCTACTCTGATCAGTGCAAAAAGCAAGTTTAAAAAAAACACATTCAATACATTGTTAAATACCCATACAATACATGATAAACCCATTCGATACATCATAAAAGAACAAAATAATGCACTTAAAACGTAATACATACTTACTAATAGTGATACTGAGGTGGTACATTGAGTAACAGAATTTGTCATGTAAGGAGTTTAGAGTTATGATGGCCCAGGGAAAGAAACTGTTTTTGAGTCTGTTTGTCAGGTTCTGATGCACCTGTAGCGCCTCCCAGATGGCAGGAGGTTGAACAGGTGCTGTCCAGGATGGAAGGGGTCTTTAATCATGTTTCTGGCTCTGCAGAGGTACTGAGACCATGAGATGTCTTCCAGGAAGGCAGAGGGCAGCCGATGATTTTCTGAGTTGTTCTGATGACCTCTGCGGAGCTCTTTTGTCTGCTGCTGGGCAGCCGGCATACCACACTGTGATGCAGTACGCCAGTACACTTTCGATGGTGGAGCGGTAGAGAATGGGTTTATTATGTATTGTATGGGTATTTAACAATGTATTGAATGCGTTTTTAAACTTGTTTTTGCACTGACCAGGAGAAGCCCTCCAAATTTCATTGTATACTCTATGTTCAATGACAATACAAGGCATTCTTCCATTCAAAGTGTCCCTGTTGCAAGACAGTACCACTGCGACACACAGCACAGAAAAGCTTCAAGGGCGGTTCCCTGAACAGCAGGCTGAGCTCAGGTCGGTCAGGGGATTACCACATCCTGCACTCCTCAGAGAGCCTGAGGGCTCCCAAGATTGCAGATGGCACAGCATCACGGTTCGAACTTTCATGACAGCATTGGCAGGGCGGCTGCGGCCGTCCCGACATGATGCTAACGCGTTGTTGGACCTCGCTGTTCACCACCTGTCTCTGTCAGCTGCTCAGCTTGGGGCTTGGTCCTTGTCCCATTCCCCGCCCGTCAAAACATGTTTCTGCTCGGTTTCGAACCGAGGACCTTTTGCGTGTTAGGCAAACGTGATAACCGCTACACTACAGAAACCGCATGCTGAAAAACAGATGGCTGGGAATGGCAGTTACAGAAAGCGTTGCTTCCTCCGCCGGGTGAGAATGTGACGATATGCAAAGCCTAGCATGGATTAAAGGAAACACGTCCCCACAACAAGAGTCACAGAGAACTGACAGTACAAAAGTCAGTTTTCAGATGTCTAAAGGTGGCCATCATATACAGGCTTTTTTCCTCACAGATTAGGGACTTTCTCTCTGTTTTACGGCAGAAAAGAAGGGTTTAGTGGATATGAATTCTCTCTGTGGTATTTATCTGATGTAAAATGAATAATGCTTCATTCAGATATCTCTACTCTATTATGAATATACCTTGTTTTAATTGAAACTGTCCCTTTTGCAATATTTTGGATCACCAGGATGCTTCATTCAGATATCTCTCCTCTGTTATGAGTATACCTTGTTTTAATTGAAACTGTCCCTTTGCAATGTTTTGGATCACCATTTAACCAGGAATAACAACGCAGAACGCAAAGAAGCAACCTCATCAACTGTTGATTGCATGCTCCACAACCTGCAAGATGACAGAAAATTCACTTTGACAGAACATCCAGTCCAGACTCAACTGACCTTTTCAAGGTCTTCAAGAGTCATAGAAGAATTGAAAGCACTTAAGTCAGTTTTCAGATGTCTACTGGTGGCCATCATATAGGGAGTTTGTTGTTGCCAGATGTAGGACTTTCTCTCTGTTTTATGGCAGGAAAAAAAAAGGTTTAGTGCATTTCAACTCCTTTCAGTGGCGTTTATCTGCTGTAAAATGAACAAACGCATGCTGAGGGTCCCGTGTGAGTTCAGAAGAGGCATGTTCCCGCCCAGTTTCGAACTGGGGACCTTTCGCGTGTGAGGCGAACGTGATAACCACTACACTACGGAAACACCACATGCTGTGCTTCAGCGACACGGGATATCCATTCTAAGCTTTGCATATTGTCACATTCTCACCCAGCTGAGGAAGCAACTCCTTCTGTAGCTGCTATTCCCAGCCATCCGTCCCCAACATGCATTTTCTGTAGTTGTAGCGCTTATCATGTTTGGCTAACATGCAAGAGGCCCTCAGTTCAAAACCGAGCAGAAGCATGTTTTGACAGGCAGGGAACGGGACAAGGACCAAACTCCAAGCTGTGAAACCGATAAAGACAGGTGGCGAACAGGGAGACCCAACAATGCGCCAGCATGGAGTCGGGCTCTCAGGACAACCGTGAATGCTGCCGTGAAAGTTCGGAGCCATATGATCCCGTGCCATCCCCCTGGTAGGTCTGAGCTCAGCCTGCTATTCAGGGAACTGCTCTTGAATCATCTCTGTGCTGTGTTTCACAGCGGTTCCATCTTGCGACAGGGACATTTTGAATAGAATAGAAGGATGCCTTTTATTTTCATTGTACATAGAGTATACAACGAAATTAGGAGAGCTACTCCTGATCAGTGCAAAAACAAGTTAAAAAAAAAAAACACATTCAATACGTTGTTAAATACCCATACAATACATGATAAACCCATTCGATACATAATAAAAGAACAAAATAATGCACTTAAAACGTAATACATACTTAGTAATAGTGATACTGAGGTGGTACATTGAGTAACAGAAATTGTCATGTCTTAGGGAGTTTAGAGTTATGATGGCCCAGGGAAAGAAACTGTTTTTGAGTCTGTTTGTCCAGGTTTTGATGCACCTGTAGCGCCTCCCAGATGGCAGGAGGTTGAACAGGTGCTGTCCAGGATGGAAGGGGTCTTTAATCATGTTTCTGGCTCTGCAGAGGTACTGAGACCATGAGATGTCTTCCAGGGAAGGCAGAGGGCAGCCGATGATTTTCTGAGTTGTTCTGATGACCCTCTGCGGAGCTCTTTTGTCTGCTGCTGGGCAGCCGGCATACCACACTGTGATGCAGTACGCCAGTACACTTTCGATGGTGGAGCGGTAGAGAATGGGTTTATTATGTATTGTATGGGTATTTAACAATGTATTGAATGTGTTTTTTTAAACTTGTTTTTGCACTGACCAGGAGAAGCCCTCCAAATTTCATTGTATACTCTATGTTCAATGACAATACAAGGCATTCTTCCATTCAAAGTGTCCCTGTTGCAAGACAGTACCACTGCGACACACAGCACAGAAAAGCTTCAAGGGCGGTTCCCTTAACAGCAGGCTGAGCTCAGGTCGGTCAGGGGGATTACCACATCCTGCACCCCTCAGAGAGCCTGAGGGCTCCCAAGATTGCAGATGGCACAGCATCCCACGGTTCCGAACTTTCATGACAGCATTGGCAGGGCGGCTGCGGCTGTCCCGACATGATGCTAACGCGTTGTTGGATCTCGCTGTTCACCACCTGTCTCTGTCAGCTGCTCAGCTTGGGGCTTGGTCCTTGTCCCATTCCCCGCCCGTCAAAACATGTTTCTGCTCGGTTTCGAACCGAGGACCTTTTGCGTGTTAGGCAAACGTGATAACCGCTACACTACAGAAACCGCATGCTGAAAAACAGATGGCTGGGAATGGCAGTTACAGAAAGAGTTGCTTCCTCCGCCGGGTGAGAATGTGACGATATGCAAAGCCCAGCATGGATTAAAGGAAACACGTCCCCACAACAAGAGTCACAGAGAACTGACAGTACAAAAGTCAGTTTTCAGATGTCTAAAGGTGGCCATCATATACAGGCTTTTTTTCCTCACAGATTAGGGACTTTCTCTCTGTTTTATGGCAGAAAAGAAGGGTTTAGTGGATATGAATTCCTCTCTGTGGTATTTATCTAATATAAGATGAATAAATGGATGCTTCATTCAGATATCTCTCCTCTGACATGAATATACCTTGTTTTAATCGAAACTGTCCCTTTGCAATGTTTTGGATCACCATTTAACCAGGAATAACAATATGGAACGCAGAGAGGCAACCTTACCAAGTGTTGCTCCACAAACTGCAAGATGACAGAAAATTCTCTTTGCCAAAACATCCGGTCCAGATTCAACTGACCATTTCAAGGACTTACATG